TGGAGCTCCCCAGGCCCAAAAGCCCCATAGAAGGTTCTAAATGGTTATGGCACTATGGGATTTCAGTGTGATTCACCTGCCCTCATTTTGCTCACCAATGATCTCTACCACTTATGTTGGTATGAGCTATGTTTTAAGCACATTTTTATGTTATGTTATTTATTTTTTTATTTATTTATTTATTTTCCGGGGGGTGGGGAGAATGTGGGGAATGCCACCTTGCACATCTAGAGATCAGAGAATACCGGTCCAGAGTCAACGCTCTCTTTCTACTCTGCATCTCCCAGGAATTGAACTCAGGTCTTCAGACTTGACAGCAAACGTCTTTACTCACTGAGTCGTCTCACTGGGCCTAACTATGGCTTTAAAGGGACATACGTAAAGGGATTACGCTTGTCTTAAAATTCCTTTATATTCCTAACTGGTATTGATACACACGCATTACTTTGGTCATCAAGACACACAAACCCTCCCCAGCTAAGTTTACTTTTCAGAGTAGCAGGCGAGAGGAGTTTGCTGTTGGGGTTCATTTTCTTTGCAAATGTGTTTCCTCTAGCTGGAAAGAGGAAACAGCTTTCCTCTCTGTTCCTCCCACCATAGAAAACAGGGCGTGGAGAGGAAGTGAGGCAAGGTGTAAATAGTGACAGAGGAGCCTCTTAACATCTGTATCTTTTTTAAAAAGGAAGCTTGGCCATTGATGACCCCAGGACGGAGGTGGTGACAGCAACTGAGGATGTTGCTGCTCACTGCTTTTGGGGTCCAGAATATGAACAGAGTGAGAGTCTTGCCTTTGACTCCAAGGCCATGGCTGTGCAAAGCCACAGTTTCTGTCTCCACAGGGTCCTCTATCCCCAATTTCTGTTTCCACAGGGTCATCTATCCCCAAACACATTTCCCCCCTTCTATTGTATTTGTCACCAGTCGTATGGGTAAGAAAAAAAAGGGGGAAACATTTTTGAGAAGTCTACAAACTGGATAAGGCGGGGATTGACTCACAGTGAGGCTGGAGGGTTAGTGACAGGATGGGGAGCTAAGCACAGAGAGAGGGACCAGCTGTCCTGGGCTGGTGAGAGTTCACACACACGTGTGACACATTGCCATGGTGTCTGCGAAGCGCCACTGAGGAGTTCCGAGTTTAGCAGAGTTGTCCAGGAGGCTTAGAAGACGAGCTCTGAACAGAGACCCTAACTGTGTCCGCAGTGGGTCACTTCAAAGCAACCCTTTCATTTCCATTTAAAAACGATTTGTGATTAAAGAGGAAGCAGGATCCTGGTCTAGGCTGGGATTCACATACATCTGAACTCTCGGAAATTGCTCCCTTAACTTGCGTCGAACGCAAATTTCAGTTCCTAAAAAAATCCAAATAAGGTACTAAATATCAAGCAAAGATGATTAATCTTTCTCTAAAATGATAACCCAGCAGGAAAACCACTGAGGAAAAAAAATGGAGGTTCATACTAAAAGGAACACCTCACATAGATGTTTAAAAGTGGGTGTGTCTGATGTGTGTGCATGTGTGTATGTGTGTGTGTGTGTGGTATGTGTATTGTGTGTGTGTATTGTGATGTGTATGTGTGTGTAATGTGTATGAGTGTGTGTGTGGTGTATATGAGTATGGTGTGTATGTGTGTGTGATGTGTATGAGTGTGTGTGTGGTATATATGAGTATGGTGTGTATGTGTGGTGTGTATGTGTGTGTGATGTGTATGAGTGTGTGTGTAGTGTATATGAGGATGGTGTGTATATATGTGTGGTGTGTATGTGTGTGTGTGGTGTATATGAGTATGGTGTGTGTATATGTGTGGTGTGTATGTATGTGTGGTGTGTATGTGCGTGTGTGGTGCGAGCATATGAATGAACCTGTGAGCATGTGCAGGCACCATTGTCACTCTGGTTAAGTGTCCCAGCTGGGTATACAGGTCTAATTGTCTCTCGGGACAACAGTGTCCTCTCTGTGTCTCTGCTCTATCCGTTCCCTTCAAGGAGATGAAAGTGTTTCCCACTGCTCTGTGGCTCTCGTGCAAGACCCACAGGTCACAGGAGGGAACTTTTCATGCCAGAGGGCTAAATACCTTCATCCAGAGGCCTAGGCAAGGCCAGCCAATCCAGTCACTTTTTACTTAAGGGGCTTTGTGAGCTAGGCGGTGGTGGCGCACGCCTTTAGTCCCAGCACTTCGGAGGCAGAGGCAGGTGGATCTCTGCGAGTTCGAGTCCAACCTGGTCTACAAGAGCTAGTTCCAGGACAGGCTCCAAAAGCTACAGAGAAACCTTGTCTCTAAAAAAACCGAAAAACAGAAAACAAAACAAAACTTATGGGGCTTTGCTGAGTTTATCCTGCGGATTACAAAGAACATTCATGCCCATTAGGAAAAGGAGAGGCCAACAACAGAAGAATGGTGCCAGCAATAGGAACAATAAAGCTTTATTGTCGATATTGGTACTTGACACATCCTGAGGCAGTTACATAGTCTTTATTTCCAGAGAAGGGTGGGACTCTGAGGAGTGGCCCAGCGGGCTCTATCCCCATGTGGTCATTTTGAGATTTTGCTCATTTTACAATGGGGGAGACCATGAACCACTAGGGCTAGAGCATTTGCTAGGCTCACACCCTTGGCTTTAACAGGGCCTGATCTCACACCCTTGCCATAGGTAACCTCTCAACAGACAGCTCTGAGCCAGTGCCTACCACAAGCTACAAGGCTTAGATGTCAGCAATGCCTGGATCTAAACTCCTGGGAAAGATAGGATTCTAAGCCACAAGCTTGCGCGGAATGGGACTGTTTTAGTCATGAGACAAAAATCACCCCGGGCAAAACAAACAAGGAAAAAGGAGACAAAGCCAGGACCCAGCTGAATCCAGGCTTCTGGGCCAGCTGCAGTGCTGGTTAAGAGCCATGGGGATTTTTTTGTTTGGGTCCAGAGACCAGCTTCCATGGTCGTCGGTGCAAGCGACAGACAGCAGGGCATGGGTGTGGGAAGCACCCAAGCTGACACACTGCAAGTTCAGTGATGGGAAAGGTTGATTTGTCCCATTTCATTCTCTAAAAAGGCCATCGAATGGCCAAGCCAGACAGAATAAGCACTTTAGTCTACACTGCATAGACAGGGGCAGGTGACACATGTCAGTCCAATCCCTTGTAACTACTGTAAGTAGGGCAAATGACTTAGTAGCTGTCCCTGTGAGTCCAGAGGTCAGAATTTAAAACGACTTAGCATGAACTCTTATAATAACTTCTAAATCAAGCAAACCAGGCTACAGCCAGCACTGAATTAGGACAATATGCACAGCCAATTCTTTCTTTCATTAAAAATCTTCTGTAAAATATATGTGTATTGTAAATACTGTCGTGATGATTGTGAGAGCTCTTTAAACATGGCTTCTACGAGATGTTTTTTGCACGCATGATTTAGTGGGGAAATGTGCTCCCAATCATCTCGTGGGCCCAAGGCTTTTTAATAGAGGGTTTGAAGCTCTGAAGGCTACAAATAGGCATTCCCAGCCAGCATCTACTTGCTCCCTAGGATGAATAAACATGTGCCTTTCTGTAAGGAAGTCTGGAAGGAACCCGGGCAGATGTAAAAATCTTGGCTTTTGCTTTAGTGTGCTAACTCAATGTAGTCCAAGTCCTTACCTCTTGGAAAATTACTCAGCTACATTCAAACAGTTGAAAAAATTAAAAATAAACACTCTAGGTTTCTACAGTTCTGCAAGGGGTGGGGTGGGGGTTGGGGTGAGCACATCTGTCAGCTAAATTTCAGATCTAGGTCTCTGTGGAGGATAGTAGGGCAGGAGGCTGCCTCTCAGGAGCACCCACTTTCTGCCTTGAGTTGGCCTGCTAACTCCTGGCGCTCCTCCTGTCCCGACACATGGACACCAGGTTTCCAGCAGCTTCTGTTACTATTTTGGTTAGTTTGACTTATTTCCATGGAGACTGTCAAAGCACTGGAATCTGTAATTATATTCTGCAAAGGCTATTAGGCACAGCCAGCACATTTTACAGCTTTGTGGTGCAAGGCCGAGGCTGTACAAGTTTTTGACACCTGGTTATTTCATTCCATACAGTGCAAAGGAATGTCGTGGTGTCTATTGGCCTCCTCGCGGGCACGTCAGGGCCACTCCCCTGTCACAACATTCCCGGTTCCGTCCCACTACAGAGGCAGATTTTTGTGCTTTGCACGTGATGGCTCTGTCATGTCAACACGTGATTCATTCTTAGCTCAAGGAAAACACCGATGATACAGGCAGGTGTCGTGGGATCCGACATCCTTCTCCTGGGTAATCTTGGTCTTGTTATCAGACATCTGAGGTGGAAACGTGACGTACTGAAACTGATTTACAAAAACCACATACAGCAACCAGTAGTATTTTTAGCCCCAATGTGGTTACAGCCTACTTCCTCTACACATTTATAACAAAGGCTTTTTTTTTTTAAGAGCCAATTTATGGTGGGTCAGAAGGAAGTCTGTTTTCTAGTTACTGCTTTGGTAACATATAGACTCCTTAGCTTTTCTTTAAAAAGGATTGAAAATTTTACTTACGTAGATAGGGATGTATATGAGTCTCTCTATGTGTATGTCATGTGTGTGCGACTTCCCTAAGAGGTCAGAAGAGGGCATTGAATCCTATTGGATCTTCAGGCAGGTGTGAGCCCCCTAATGTGGTGCTGAGATCCATACTCAGTTCCCCTGGAAAAGCAGCAAACTTAACTGCTGAGTTCTCTCTCCAGACCTGTCTTCATAGTTTTATCAAGGAAGAGCTCTTTGGATTCAACGTGAAGGTTGTGTTTTTCTGTATCTGAAGTCATTCCTAGATTAGAGCCAGCGAATATGAGCCGAGCAGTGAGCGGACACATCTAGAAGGGTGCGGAGGTAGGAAATGCCACAACAGGCTATTTTAGACCCAGAATTTCAGAGTTAAAACTACCATCGTTCAGCACCTATACAAAGTGAGTATAAATTTGCATTATGTGGGCTTGGACTTTACGTGGTGACCTTGGCATTTGGGCATGCCCACGTCTCCAGTGAACCTTGACCTCTGCTTTCCTGCCTTGTCTTCCTTTGAAACCCCACCTGCCAAGACTCAGGTGGGGTTCATAAACACAGCGTTTGCAGAATGAGCAGGGGTGAGGCTGAGCAGCTTGTGGAGCAGCCCAGAGATCCAATGAGGGGACTTCTGGATTTGCCAGGGAGCAAAGAGAGACCTTGGTCTTGTTTCTTCACCCACAGAGCTTCACACTACCACACCTTGGTGTTTTGAGGAATTGTGACTTAGACAGGCTGCCAAGCCCGCAGGCATCAGAAGTGGTGTGAGCTGCTGCTGGAATCACGCAGGCTCACAGGCAGGGGAGGAGTCATGGGTTCATGCAGCAGGGATGCCCATCTGCTATTTCTAGGTAGGAAAAGTGAGTCACTAGATTCATGGTTTCCTGCCTGGCCTGCCCCAGGCTGTGCACACCTCTTGTTGGCTGTTTCAGTAGATCTGATCTAACTGGTCCCTTGTCACCTTGCCTATGGTAATTGAGGGAGTGGGGCCCTTTTCCACAGCGGCCTGTCTCTACCTGTGCCTGTCTAACTACATGGAGGAGAAGGTCTGGAGGTCTATGGAGAAAATGTCTTTATTATGGGCTGCCCTGACTTGGTGACACATGGTAGCTGTCTGGGACTCCTTCCTTCTGACCCCATATCAGAGAAGCCCAAGCCCCTCCCCCATCATTGAGTATTCGGAAGGCAGGAGGCAGATCATGCTTGGGAAAGGTGATAACTGGTCAATTAATATTGTCCTTATGCCACCACCATCACCCCACTTCGGGAGGGGCTTCCCGCCACCCCCCATACAGGTTTGGACTTGATCCGACAGGAGCACTGAAGAATGAAGAACAGACGGCCAGTAGCCCTGAAACTCAATGTGTTCACTGTCTGCAGCATCGATGAAGACACGGGCCAGCTGATCCCGGTAAGTGGTCTCTGCAGGAGAGCAGTTTCAGGCCGCAGTCATCTGGGATGAGGAAGCTGTGGTTGGTACTTTCTGAACACGCGGGTTTGAGCTGAAAGTCAACTCTGTCAACATCCATCCTCAGACCAGGGGAAGACCTTGCCATTCCCGTGGGTCGGAGGCACTGGTGCCTTCCACACAGCCGTGCTCTCGCAGGACTACGTCAACACGACCTCCCATCATCTTTCAGGAATAGAGTTTGTTTTACCCCCGAAGTGCACTGCCTGTGTGGAGCGGGAGCGGAGCCGAGAGCACACCTTCCTGATCAGGCCTCCTTGGCATAGGCAGGCTAGTGCTGAAGTGACTAACAGACCAAGACAGGTGAGTTCTCTGTCTACTCTTGGCCTAAACCGGCACTTGAGGACACAGCAGAGGAAGCTGCCCAGCCCCCCTTCCATTAGGAAGGACAAAGGTTGACACTGAGGACAACTTTGGACCCTACAGGGCCTAGAGTGGCAGCAGAGGAATCAACATTAACGAGCTGTTCCAGCTTGCTTTATTTGCCGTGAACTTACTTGCCACCCCGAGAGATAAAAGAAGCAGTAGCCTTGCCGGGCTGCTCTTCTGCATGTTCACTGTTTTTCACCCATGATGCAACGTGGGCTGCCATGGAAAGCCAGCTCTCGGAGAACTTCTCACCCCCGGGGAAGCCGCCCATGCCTACGAGGCTGCCATGGCCTTCGGTGACGGGGTCTCTCTCACCAGCAACTGACAAAGCTTGTGGAATCTATTGCTATTTTTCTCCTCATACAGTTGTGAGCTAGAAAGAGGTCAGTGTGTTTTGTTTATTTTCCTGTTTCCTTGGGACATTTGATGAGGCTCTGAGGATTTCTGCCACCCTCCTTTATAGAAGAGACACCCAGTCTTCAAAACTGCAGCCCAGTCAGTCACTGAGAGGAAAGAGGCTTCTGGGCACACATTGTCTCCAGCAGCTTCTGGTGGGGGCGGGGCACCACCAGTACAGCTGCTTCTGTGGCTGCCCTTTCTTTCTTCCCAGCCCAACCCAGGAGTCCACTCAGCAGCTGGAGTGTCCTCCTGTGCCCCTAGCTTGTGAGGGAGAATCCCTGGGAAGAAGCTGTGTCTGAAAGAACTGATTAAACATCTATGCTCTATGATTGGAGAGTTTGGAATGTTGCAGGCCCAGATCCTAATTATAATTTATCTCGAGGTATCTTTAGATCATTAAATAGTCACTTCCTTTTCCCATTTCCCTACCTTACATCCTTACTACAGATAAAAAACAAAAACGAAAACAACAAACAAACAAACCTTTGGAATAAAAACCTTGGAATGTATTAACAAGCGTCCAATTTTCCGCCAACGAAAAGGCACCAGGTAGAACCTGAGGCCTATAGCTGAGAATCCTCCCCTATGCTGTAGCTGCCCATTTAATGCTGCCACCGACTTATTTCAAAAATGTCTTGATCTTTGTTCTGTGACTATAAAATTTCATAAACCTGCTTCCATGTTGGAACTTGGGGCAACCTAAGTCCGTGTTCCCCGGGGATGCCACTCACAGCTGCTCCAGATAAACCACCTCATCCCTTTGGAGGCGAGGGCTGTGTTTTGGCAACAGCGCTCTCAACGCTGCTTTTTTTCCCTTTGCGTCGCTGCGCGGCACATTCAGTTCCCTGACTTCTCGCTCTCACTCGCGTGTCTCTCTGAAGACACAGTTACTTGCTGTGGAAATAGCTTTTCCGCCTCCAGAGCTGACTGACATGCGCAAAGAGGCTCTCCCAGGGTTCTCTCACCCTCAAATCCCAAGGGACACGTCTGCAAGCGCTCACAGGTGTATCGTCCCTTCACAGACCTGCTCCTGCTGGGCGCTGACACTGAGAATCAGAGTCTCCAGGTCACTTCTTAGGTCGCTGCTTCCGTGCCCCGGAAGCTGCTTCCAGACCACCCCTTCTTACCTTACAATAAACTCTTTTTCACAAGCCCCCTTTAACTCTCTCCTGCTATGCTGGGTGGCGCTCGACAACAGGAACATGGTAAGTCCGAACTGGCTTGACTCCCAACTGATACAAGCTGTCCCCTGACTGAAAAAGTGACACATGTCCCCAGTGCTCCAAAAATAAGTTCTCCGAAACTAGCACCACAGAAAGGAAGTAAAGAAGAAGGCGCCTGCCATCTCTCCCAGAACAGCCAGCCGGTTACCCAGGACTGGCCTGGAGTTGCGCATCTGGGCTGAGCCAGCGGTGGGCAACAGGTGCTGCCGCTGTTGGTTAGAACTACCGAGGGAAGCAGTAACCAAACCCAGGCCACTGGCACAGCTTTCCTCTCTCTAAATTCTCTTTAGACGATGTGCTCAGTTCTCCCTGTGTCCTCCCGTCTTTCTCTCCCTTGTGGGCCTTCAGGTATAGCAAGTGACTCATACATCAATGATTCATGTTATCCAATGAATTAAAAAAAAAAACACCTTATTTTTATTGGTTTCTCTTTCTTTTCCCCCAGCTCTCCTTCTTTGCTCTTCCCCTTCCTTCTCCTCTCCTCGTTCACTCCTGCCCCTCTCTTCCCTTCTCCTCCTTCCCCATCCTTCTCTTCCCCCTTCCTCCTCTCCTGCCTCTCCCTCTCCTTCCTCTTCTTCTTTAATAAGTCTCACTTCCCACTGCTTGACTGTCGGACATCACCTTTCCCATCTCGGTACCCCATATCTTCCGATAGGTTTATGAGACCAGGCTGAGAGGCAATGTGGAGGGGACATGCGGCTACACTGGGGATCCCCCCTCACCTGGGAACGGGTTCTCAAGTCCATCTGCTGCAGGTTTCTGTCCCTATCCAAGGACAGAGCAGGTGGCCAGCTAGACTTCTACTCCAGCTCTGGATTTCTTCTGGGCCTAGAACCCAGCACTCAGGGTCAAGTCAGGAAGCTGGAATCTATGTCCTCTGTGACACAAAGCCCTCTGTGTCCTCGCTGGATGGCCATACCTAGAGCCCTGACACCAGCGTCTCTGAGGTAGAGGAGTCTCTGCTACACCCACCCGGAACCAGCTTTAACAGATCGATCATGGTCAGTGCTGCTGCGGGACAGACTTGACTTGCATCGCTGGACACTTCTCATGGGGAGTAAGGAGGCGAGTGTCACCCTGTGGCTCGGTTTCAGTAACAGCCAGCTGTCTGGAAAGAAAGGGCTCTGAAGCGTACATCTGCTGGCTCTCATGGAATGAACACTTTCACCAGAGCCAATTTTGAGCTATCCACGTGTCAGTGGGTTGGGAAGAGATGCACAGTAGCCGAGGGTTATATAGCAGTCCCCAGACACAGGTAGACTATGCAAATAATCTGGGCAGCATCAGCAATAAGAAATCATACTCAGTAAGGAAGAGATATGCTGCGGGAGCTCCTTCTGCTCCTTCAGCCAATAGTCGCTGAGATACCAGCCCATTGGGGCGTGGTCTCCCCCTATTTTTCAGAGATATGCCTTATCTGTTTATTACTATTCTTTTTAGCGGAACTCATTCAATTTGTAAGTTTGTATCATTTAACTTGTAATAAGGGCTATGTGATCAACCAGCGTACAGGCTTCCTGAGCCATTAGCACCGGGTCCTCTGGAGCCTGTCTGGGTCATTTCCAGCACAACAGCTGGGCCCTTTCTCAGTCCCATCATTCCTAGAGTTCAGCAGCCCTTCATTCACGGATTTCAGGATTTCAGGATTCCTGCCAGAGAGCGGACGTGACTACCGCTCCTTTTGATAAGTTTGATGGCTAAGTTTCAGTCCTTATTCTTTCTACTTGGCTTCCCAGGGGACAGGGCTGTTCCCTCCCCCACTCTGCAACTCTATTGTTTTGTTTTGTCTTTGCCAGTTATTCAAAACTCTCAAAGACTCCTGTTCAGCTGTTGGCTCTCTTGCCTGTGGAATTTCTCAGGACACAGCCATGGTTCCTTTTGGTTTTCTGCTCTCCTCCCTCTAAAGGACAGTGTGTCATAAATCCACATTTCCAGGGCTGATCTCACCTTTGAACTCCAGCTGTGCACACACAGCTTCCCCTCCCTCCCATCTCATTCTTCATCACTGATGGGGACATCAGCGCTCATGCTGACTGCAGCCCGAGAATGCTCAGCATCGACATGCCAACAACCACGGCTCAGAAGCTGGAGACTCACCCGGGAAGCTCACTGAGGGCAAATGATGTCACTATCTGCCTGGCGACACCGGCTGGAATCCTTGAGTCATCCCTGGTGCACGCCTCTCCCATTCATCGATGACCACTTAGTCAATAAATCTGATCTGTTCTGCACCTCAAGCAGCTTGGATGCTTCCTGTCTCCAGCAGCTGTTAGTGGGCCATTTATCTCCTGGGTCAGCAGGGAGTCAGGCTGCTCCACCAGAAGCCCCCCACCCCCATCCTCAGACCTGCTGAATTTGAATCTGTCCTCCACTCTGTTGGCCAAAGGCTTCCGAAGCCACATTTCTGATGTTACTATTTCCCTGTTAGCTTTCCATACAGCGCCTGTGCTTCTTGGCACGTGAGCTAGCACCTGCCTGCTTCTCAGGGGCCATCTCATCACCAGCTTTCCTCTACCCATGCTTTGGCTACAGGGACTTCCTGCTTCAGCACTCCATTGCCGATTCTGTTCTTCGAACCTAGAATCCTTCCACCTCATAACACCAAGACCCCATTCACTCCTTGGCTAAATTGGTCTTACAAACTTGTTCTTCATCCTGGGGTGCTGTTGGGAGGTGAGGGAGCCTAGTGGGAGGGGTTGGACCATTGGGTGCTTGTCCTTGAAGGTAATTTGGAAACCCAACCCCCTTTCCTTCTGTGAAGTGAGCAAACTTCCTCTACCAAATGTTTGTACCACAGTGTCCTGGGCTACAGCAAGCCCAGGGCAACAGGTCCAGCTCAGCATTGTCAGAGATCTCTGGAATTATATCTCAAAGCAAATCTTTCCTACTGATGCTGGGGGTAGAACACCTCATGGCAATATGAAGTCCAGGCCTTGTGTTCTCCCCAGCACCACAAATAACAGCAGCAAAACCAACTTTTCTGGTTGCTTATGCCAGATGTTTTATTCCAGCAACAGAAAGCTAACACATCTGGGACGCTAACACAGTCCACACCGAGAGATACTTCTCTGTCTTGACCATGCTAAACCAAAACCCAACCATCTCTCTGTTAGCTTCTATGCTTCTTTGGAGAAATGGGCCCTTAAAGAGAAGCCTGTGTCTTTTGTCTCCGAGTCTCTGGCAGCAAGGACTGGGCGGAGTTTCTAGGGAGGAGCTTACCAAGTTTGTGGAATGAATGAAGAGGTATGGATGGTGGCTGGCAAAGGCGACCGAGGACGGAGGATCCTGAGGATGAAGCTGAGTGATTCCTCTCTCACACAGTGTGCCTTGGGCCCCAGTATCCCACCAAGTAGCTGCTTCCGGGGATGAGTGTGAAGCTGGGATGAGAGTAGTGGTTACGAAGCCTCCAGCACATAGAGATTAAACAATAACTACGGCTAACAATACTTTTAGGTACTGAAGGTACTTCATTTTTCTAGAATTCCTACAGCAGTGTTCATTTTCATAATTGTTACTTTGACTGTCCCGACTTTTATGAGAAAAGCAGTGAACTGTAAATAATATATTGCGAGTATTTTTAACTGGGAGTGGGGGCTGTTTGTATATGTATAAATGATCCACATGTGAGATGTAACACACACCCATGGTGATGAAATCCAAGGAAGGACTATCCGACTTAGCTGCACTACCATTCAGGGTTCTCAGCCCTGCCTGTGTTGGCTTATGGCACAACTTCATATATAGCTCAGAGGAAACACCCAGTCCCCACAGCTTTTGCCCTCTACTGGCTAGAAGCTGATCCTGCCAATGCATTTGACTATGTTGCCCCCTAGGGATCCAGCACAGAGCCTCTGTGGTCTAATTTCTAAATAATATTATTGGTTTGCTAGTTGGAGTATCTAGTACCTCACATGTGTTTTCAGAAGACGTCAGAGCACAGATGTGACTCCAACCCTCAAAGTCCACTTTCAAGGGCTCAGAAATCTTGAGAACCTTGGAAAAACAGAAGCCAGTCCTGAAAACCAGGAGGACTGGAACTGGATTTATGCGATGACAAAATCGCTGCGTTAAGGTGGCGACGGGATTGCAGTGAATAAAGAGTTATGGGGAGTTCTGCGATATGTGGAAGACAGACACACGATCTCTATGGTGGCTCCTTCTATCAGACCAGCAAGGTGGCTTTATAAAGCAGAATATAACTTGTCCTGTTACCGTTTGTGACTGTTGGGGACAGTCTTCCCTGTCAGCTGAGATTATGACTCATCTCAAAGGTCACACTTGAAACAAAGTCTAGCCTCACAAGAAAAAAATCTGCTTGGTGTGCCTTGCAGACTAAGCCTTTTCATTTGTTTGTTTTGTTTTTTAAGACACAGTTTCTCTGTGCAGCCCTGGCCACCTGGAAAGGGTGGCCTTGAACTCACAGGTCCACCTGTCTCTGCCTCCCAAGTGCTGGAATTAAAGGTGTGTGGCACCACGGCCTGGCTACAAACTAATTCTTTACTCCTACCTCCCGCATGCAATCAGATATCAGAGCCTGAGGCTTTGCTTACTGAAGAGATCTCCAAGCGGTAATTTTCTATAGTGGTAAATTATTTGTAGTTTAATAAGCAAATCTTGCCTGAAGATCAGAAGCAAGGCTAAAGTCACTAGAGGTCAGGTAATGGTGACATACACCTTTAATCTCAGGATTTGTGAGAGACAGAGGCAGACTGATTTCTGTGAGTTCAAGGCCACCCTGGTCTACACAAAGTCGAGCAGAAACAGGTCCAGGTGGTGGTGGCTCACACCTTTAATCCCAGCACTAGGGAGTCACACACCTTTAATCCCAGCACTAGAGGGAATATAAAATGAGAGGAGAGAGAGATTTAGGCTGCTTAGTTTATAGTTTCCCAGCCTTGGTAGAGGTAAGACTTCTCTAGTGGCTTGGCTGGTTTGCTTTTCTGGTTTTTGGGTTAATTTATTTGTTAAAATACAAATAATACACCACTGTAATTTTCTTTTCCTTTCTGTGGGTGTGCTGTGTGTGCGGTGCATGCATGTATGAGAGTATGCAGGTGTGTGCATCACAGAGCCCAAAGGAAGCCATAAGGCATTTGCCTCTACCACCACTTGCCTTACTGCTTTGTGCAGGGTCTTCCGCTGCACCAGAGGCTCACCTGGGAGCACCTTCTTTGGGCAATGGCAGCTGACCGGCAAGTTCTGATGCTTTTGCCTGTCTCCACACCCATTACTGACATGTGTAGCCATGCTGGGGTTTTTACATGGGGACTGGGGATTTGAACTCAGATCCTCATGCTTGCACAGGAAGACATTCCCCCAGCACCTCTAAGGGTAATCTTCAATGTCTGTCTTACACCAGGATCCAAATAAGGATGAAAGATGCACTTTCAGGAGGAAGAGAGTTTAGCTCTACCGCTTCCTAGAAACAAAAACCCCTGAAGCAGTGGCTTCTTTTTAAGATGCAAAATAGTATCTTTGTGATGATTGTGTTTAGATCTCTCACATTCTAGCTTAAACCAGCGATGGCCATATTATGATCTGAGTGAGTTAAGTCAAACAGTGGGAAAGGGGTCTTTTCTTCCTTTAATCCTTGAGGGGAATAAAAAGGCAAATTCCCTACAGAATGGGAAAATAGTCACCAACCCCACATCTGACAGAAGACTGAGCTCCAAAATATACAGAGAACTCAAGAAGCTAAAATCCAAAGAACAAATAACCTAATAAAAAATGGGGTACAGAACTAAACAGAGAACTCTCAACAGAGGAATCTCAAACGGCCGAAAGACAATGAAGGAAATACTCAACTTCCTTAGCCATCAGAGAAATGCCAATCATAATAACCCTGGGATTCCATCTTATACCTGTCAGAATGGCCAAGATCAAAAACACTGATTACAGCTTATGCTGGAGAGGATATATAGTAAGGGGCACACTCCTGCATTGCTGGTGGGAGTGCAAACTTGTACAACTGCTTTGGAAATCAGTGTGGCAGTTTCTTAGAAAATTAGGAATCAATCTACCTCAAGACCCAGCAATACCACTTTTGGGCATGTACCCAAAGGATGCTTATCAATACCACAAGGATATGTGCTCAACTATGTTTATAGTAGCATTATTCATAATAGCCAGAACCTAGAAACAATCTAGATACCCCTCAATCAAAGAATGGATAAAGAAAATGTGGTATATTTACACAATGGAGTACTACTCAGTGCTAAATAAAAAAAAATGGCATCTTGAAATTAGCAAGCAAATGGACAGAACTAGGAAAAAAAAACCCATACTGAGTGAGGTAACACAGACCTAGAAAGACAGATATAATATGTACTCACTCATATGCAGATATTAGACATAAAGCAAAGACAATCAGCCTATAGTCCACAACCCCAGAACACCTAGACAACAAAGAGGACCCTAAGAGAAAAAGACAAGATCTCCTGAGAAAATTGGAAGTGGGGGGGGGGGGGCAGGGGAGAAGGTAGGAGGGGAGAAGGGAGGAAGAAAGGGGAGTGGGAAAATATATAGCTCAATAAAAACAATAAAAAAGGCAAACCCCAAAGTCTTGCCTGTCTACCGATAGCCTTTATTGCTATACACATCCAAAGAAAAGCATTAACAAAGTCTGGGTGATTCTTGTATCCCAGAAGCATTCTCTTCTCTACCAGATGGAGAAAGAACTACCACTCAGGAACTAGAGAGGCCGCTAAGGAGAATCTCTCTCTCTCTCTCTCTCTCTCTCTCTCTCTCTCTCTCTCTCTCTCACACACACACACACACACACACACACACACACACACACACTTCTGCTCCTTTCTAGGAGCCCCCAGTAGGCTTCATCCCACACCCTGGGGACCAAGGTTAGGTTTCATGTCAACTTTAAATCTAAATCACACATGGCCAAGAGAAATGGATTACTTTGAAAGCTTTGGAGAATTCTTTTGGGGTGGCAGGAGTACTGGGATCCCCGGAGCACTGGGATGGGCACAGACACGGTTTTTAATACAACAACTAGAAGTCTTGAGTGAGGCTGAAGCAGCTGTTCTTTAGTTTTAGACAGATCAGAGCTCCTCTGCTTCTCATGAAAGCAGGACAGAGTGACATTTATACTTGTATCCTAAATTTGAAGAGCTGCCACATCTGCTCCCTACATTCAGGCAGCTGGTGGATGTGTAGACCAGGAGCCTACCCATCAGTAAGCAGAGGGCAGGAACTCGCTGGGTCACTTTCCAGGACATGA